GCTCATTCTTAGGAAGCACAATTTGAATAGAAGAGAAAGACAATTGGAGAACAAGCCAAAAAACAGAGATGTCAAATGCAGAATAGAGGTCAAAGAAACAGAAGAAAAGCACAGGTGCAGAATAAAAACAGAGAAATGGAAAGTAGTCCTGGAGAGCAAAAAAGCAAGGGCAGAGTGAAGATATCAGAGTGAGTAGGTTCATACAGGTGATGAAGTGGATGAATTAAAAACAGGAGGACAAGAGGAGGATAGCGCGTCGGATTTGTTATGTGTGAGGACGGGAGCCCAGACCAACCGTTAAATTCAAAAGAAGTTTCTGTACCCTGTCAGAGAGAAGGACTGCTTCACATGTGAGTGTCTTACATAAGATAATGGACACCCCCACCCAGGGGACGTGGCCAGGATGCCTAGGCCCCATGAAAGATATCACATTGGGACGTCACCACCACAGCCCAGGACAACCCGGCACAATTGCATAGACATGACTTATGTCACACAGATGACAGGGGATGGTCGAGACTGGTTCATTCTTTTTGAAAACTTTTGTTTTAAATGAAATGAAAACTAGCCTTATTTAGACTGCTGTCCTTATCCGCAATATTTACTCCACTTTGACGTTTCTCCTTCAATCTTAATGTCTCAGAGGCGTAATGAAGGGACAAAGTGACCCCCCCCCCCCCACCGTCTTCAGAGGTAGTAACAGAGACGCTGGAGGTTAGAAGGTGTCAGCAGAGCCAGCTTCAAAGAAAACAAAAAAAAACATCTATTTCATAAGACAGGTGCATAGGAGAAGATGAACAAAAATGTTGACGTGCCATGTAGACCATGTGCAGGTATTTGCCTGCAATGTTTCATAATTAAAAATAAGAAATGACCCAATATTGGATGCCTAGGACTTCTATTGTTGTTGGATTTTACTGGTATCATACCAAAGTCCAACATTCTGGTGACATGACACTAAAAAGTCCAACATAAGCTACTATATCTCTGCCAATCAAGGGCCCCCTTTTGTCCTTTGGGGCCATGGGTAATCAGTCTAAATGATCGAATGTTTGGCTAAGATAGCATTTCCATCATTGCGACCTTCAGACCTTCATCTTCAGAGACCAGAGGATAAAATCACAGAGCCGACATCCATGTTTCATACAGTCTATGTCCAGTGTTTTCCCATGTTGTTGATGCTATTATAAATCGTTCATGCTCAGTATTTGGTTGGGAGTTTAATTTAGATTTGATCTGACGTCCTTACGCTGCTAAGTATCAAATTTTTTTCCTGTGAAGACCTAAGTTTGACAATGGAGGAAAGGAGAATGAGGAGGACTTATCTAAGAGTGAGAAAAGAAAGCAGGACAGTGGTAAACTAATAATGAGGATTAAATATATATTAAATTACTACATTTTTTCAATAATATAAAATTTCAATTATGTGAAAACAGGCCCTTTTTCAGTTGAGCACAATTTTACAAAGGTATTGAAATTATCTTGTACTTTCTAGTTCATCTTCTGTTTTTCATAATAATACTTGTGAACTTTCGGAATAATATTTGACATTTTGCCTTTTTTTTGTTGTGTCAAATTAGTTACAACATAATGGTGATGAACACCGGCTATAGGGGCCCCTTGTGTATTTTGCCCTGGGCCCCAACAGACTCTTTAACCGCCCCTGAAAATGGGTTTAATATTTCCTTACTATAGGAAATCTTTAACCCATGTAGTCGTATGAATACGAGCTCCATGGTGCTGATCAAGCCTCCATTATAGACTGATTGTGTCCCTTTGTAAGCAATCATTCAGCCTGACAACGTTTGATTCACTCACAGAGCAGGCAACCAGTTTATAGAGCAGCTACTTCAACATAAAACTCCTCCAGAGTCCATGTTAAGTGTTAACCTAATATTTTTGTATGACATTATGCCCCATTTGGGAAATCATTTCTGGGGGGCTACATGATGAGAATGGAGTCAAATCAATTTTTGTTCAGGAGAAAATGGAGATGCATAAATAATGACCGAGGCTCTGGGTGGAAAAATCTGCCAATGGACTCCCATAATGATAAAGAATAAATAAAGTGCAACCCTTGTTTTTGAATCATTTCTGCACATTACAAGCTACACATTGTAGCTACTGTCCACTTGAGATTTAAATCTCCGACAAAACTACAGGAACAATTTTTTCCTGCGAGTTCTCTAGTGGCATTTGGCTTATTCATGAGCGCCAATCACTCCTGGGGTACCTGAACCCGGCTCCCCATGAATACTAATGAGCACAAAATCACAGCTGCAATTCACTTCCTTAGCAACCAAACAGGGACGAGGAGATATGAAAATAAGTCAACAGAATGCCCCGACAACTCTCTGTGGTGACACACGACAACACTCTCCCCCAGGAGGGTGCTGGGAGAGGGAGGAGGAAAAAATCTAAATGGCTTTTTATTTACCTGGGAAATGCAGAGGTGCAGATAAGTGCAAAAATAAGGAGAAGGAGGAGGAGAAGGAAGAGGAGGAGGAGGAGGGGGTTGATCGAAGAGAGAGACAGTAAGAGAGAGTGAGAGATAATAAAGAAAGGACTTTTTTAGCCCAGAGAAGAAGACAATGAGTCATCCAATTGTGCTCCCTGACTCACTGCGGCCTGGGTGCTTCTACGCCTCAGGACGTCTTTGGTCACTGTGGTTACTGGGCACACGGGTTACGACATGCAGGAGAAGGAAGTAGGGTGGAAAGTCCAAATGAACATGCATGTTATAATACATAGTTCCCGTACTGTAAGACACTGAGGAAGGGCGCTGAGGAATATCTAGGTTGCCTAAAAGCAGTAGGCAGCGTTTATAATTGCTCTGCGGTTGGCGGTTATTCCGTCTCCAGCCGGCGGGGACGATGCGTTGTCACTATTGACAGACAGACCCTGAATGACAGTCCTGCCTTTCTTTATCTCTTCTCTCCTCACTCTCTCTCTTTCTCTCCCCCCCTGCCATCGGCCAGCATCTCCATCTCTCTCTGTGTGCGTTCCAGGGGCCTTATAATGAAATTCATTACTGTTACAGATAGGAGAGCAACACCCGTTTAGAGATCTGTGTAGAAAATCAATCACAAGCTGGTTGAGTGTGGGGAAAGTTCACTGAGGTTTCTTCTGCCTCTGTACTTGTGGTTGGCGTCTGGGGGCCCCTCTGGTGCTGGTATCCAGCCATTATCAGCGCTGGGATTTCTTGCAATCGGCAAAGATGATACCTTACTTCTTTGACCTTGAGTGCCTTTGGTATGCCAGCGCACAAATAAAAATAGACCCGAGTTATTTGACTTAAGAAAATGAGGTTGAGTGCCATCACCAGGGTTTTTCCTGCATAGAGAATTATTTGGCGCCCCCCAAAGAGGTTTTACCCAGCGCCAAAGGAAAATCAGTAGCGCCTAAAGAAAAAAAAAGACGATTCAAATTGCAAATCAAATCCTCTCTAAATGTTTGTTAAAGACATCAAACGACTGTTGAACAAGCAGAACATAAACTTAAATACGACGTCTCTGACTTCTAGCAGTCATCTCCCCTCTCATCCGTTTACGCATGTGGCTCGCGCTGGATAGCCAGCTGATTGACTGTTTGTTTCTTTTGACTGGTTCTGGACGCTCTGCTGACACCCACGAGCGCAAATGAGGGTTGATTTTCCGTTTGGCGAGTTGATTTCAAAGAGTAATGCGCTTCATGGCGGTAAATATTTATCCCAACAGTCATGTTAAAACTATACTAAACCACGTATGATGTAGCTGCGGTTACTTGTCCCTGCTCCTCTGCTGTCTGTAGGCGGGTCATCGAGGGGGCACGCAGAGACGAGACAAACCAACACACATGGCTGCAAACGCACACACACACCAGAACGCCGACCACCGCACGCACCTGTTTACTTGTAGTGCAACAGAACACGGTTGATCCGTTTTTTGAGGTAGTCTGCTATTATGAAGAAAATAATAAGAAACAGAAATAGCCCCTTGAGGTCTAAACTCAGAAAAAAATCACAAAGCCACATTGTTAAAATGAGAGAGGCCAGCAGCAGGAGGAAGACTTCCTACTCTCTAACTTGAAGCACATATGGTTTACAAATTCCTGTCAAATATTGATTAACAGATGGTCTACTCACTCAGCGACTACACTCTACTGAACAGGTTGAGATTAGGGTAAAACGATCTGACTGTACAAAGAGGAGCATGGTTACACAACTTGCGGCAGCCACGCCTACTTTCCCTTGTCAAAACAGGCCTTTCTCACGGACAAATGTAGAAATAACATATTATCATGAAAGACCAAAATAATAATATGGCAATCACTACTGAAAAAACAGCAATCACAGCCCGGTAATATTATCTAACACACCTTAATGGCCAAAACCAATCTGCACTTGAGTGACTTTAGACTCTGATGGGATAATATAAACAGAATTAAGCCAACAATACAAAGTGCAGTGTGAACAAAAGGTATCTGCCTTGTCCTGTGTACTAAGAAATACAGGCTAAAAGTCAAGATGTGTTTCGCAACACAGCTCTGACATTTAGCATCATTGATCTTTGGACAGGAAGCTACTTCTAGCACCAGACTTTTCAAATTATATTCAACTGGAGTGTCTTATGTTTAATAAAGGTTTCATTGAATAAGTATCAAGAACACTGTGGAACATTACTAGATATTAAATACTGTGGCTCAGTGGTAGAGTCGAAAGTGTCTCAACTGGAAGGTCTGGGGTTTGATCCCCAGCTCCTGCAGCCTGCATACAATCTCAAGTCCATTTACCAAAAGTGTTCTGCCACATGTGAATTTGTCTCAGGGCTCCTAAATTTGTTTCATATCTTGTAAATTTGTTTTTGTCGTTGGTAAAGCTGTTTTGATTGTTTGTGTAACTTTATTTTATAAAACCTTAAAGTGTTTTCCAAAATGTTAATTTTTCCCATGCTTTGTAAAAATTATTTTGAAGGAAACAAGCACAAACAGGAAAGGATCATGTAATCGCAACCTATCTTATGATGTTTCTTCTTGACTGAACTTTCAACCTGTGTGGACTTCAGTCCCTGTAAATAAGCAACAACTAAAAGTCAACAGATGGAGGCCATAAAAAGTCTACTTGGATTTGAGTGGATGGACGGAATAAGTATTGTGATATTTTTGTGTGTTTTTGTGCTGTTGGCTGATATTTTGAAGAACAGAGTCCCGTCAAACTTTCCTCCTGGACCGTGGGCTCTCCCACTGATTGGAGACCTTCATCGCATCAAAGCCAGCAGGATCCACGTGCAGCTCTCAGAGGTTTTGTAGAGGCCATTCATACATCACTGTCCAGTGAAACATCTGATCATTGAAATATAAAATATTTAAATATATACCTTTTTTTCCGCAATTGAACACTTTCTAAAATTAAATATTACTCTTACCTGACTGACTTCGTGTTTTGCAACTTATTCATGTAAAATAATGCCAGCAATAAACATGATTACTGTGGATGAGGACAACAAATTCACAAGAAGAAAAAATCTATTTAACGTTTGCTATTCAGCAGCTTTAGACAAAGTTCAAATGTGAAATTTAGATAATCATTAACTTTCAAGCTGTGATTTCCCTTCTCCTGAGCCCCGGAGGAGATACACAATCACAATCAGTTTGCAAAACCATCCTAATGGTTACTATTACATGTGCATTCATTTGCAGTTTTCTGTATTCTGTTTTGCAACAATTTCATATTGAATTGTGTGCATTTTTGTGACGGGAAACGTATATAAAAAATAAATGTTCTTATTTAAACAATGAATCATATGTACTGTAGGTCCTGCATGAATTTGACATTTCAGCAAGATTTAAAGTCCCTTCATTCAATTAACAATAATAACACAAGCACAAGAACCCAAAAATGAACAAAACACCACGACAACAAAGCATCCCACGGATAAGACACCCAACCAAAAACCCCAAAACCCCAACATTAAAACCCAAACAAAAACCAGACCCACATCAGAACCCAAACATCATATAAGAACGCGGACAAATAATTAGGCCTATTAGAACCTAAACATCATAAAAACCTGAACACCATAAGAAGTCAAACATCATGAGAATCAGCAAAATCCAAACATCATAAGAACCTGAACATCATTAGAACCCAAACATCATAAGAACCCAACAGTCAGCAGAACCCAAACAAAAACCAGACCCACATCAGAACCCAAATATCATATAAGAACCCAAAAATCAGCAGAACTCAGACATCATAAGAACCTGAACACCATTAGAACCCAAACATTATCAAAACCAGAACATCATAATAACACAAACAACATAAGAACCCAAACATTATAAGAACTCAAACATCCTAAAAACCCGAGCATCATAAGAACCCAAACATCAGCAGAACCCAAACATCATCAAAACCAAAACATTATAATAACACCAACATCATAGGAACTCAAACAAATAATCAAAACCCAAACATCATCCGAAACCAACCATCATAAGAACCCAAACATCATTAGAACCCAAACAACATCAAAACACAAAAATCAGCAGAACTCATACATATGAATCCAAACACTATAAGAACTGCAATGTTTAATTTTCTCACGCTCTTCTATCGAGACAAGTCTTAAACGCTCAACAAACTCATTAAAGTGCATGAGAACACAAGGCAGTACACATCTATTAAATAAGACAAAAAGACAAGTACAGCACACACTTCACATGGTCCAACTACAGGTTGATCTATGGCACTTAGCATGGGCTCGTCTGCTAGCACATTTATTGTTCATAAAATCAAACTTTTAGCTTACTCAAACATCAAAACTGCATCGTCATGAAAGTCTTTACGTGTCACTAAGTTTTTTCAGACATGTTGGCTTTGTTTATGACCATAAACATACCTGGAAAAAAGGAATAATAATCACAAGATTGATTCTGTTATGTTTCCTTATTAAGAATTTAGTAGAAGTTATTCTGAACTATTAGTGCATAACTTTTTCACTTGTCACAACAGCCGGGTGAGTGTTTGTGATGTCACAGATCCACCTGAACACCTGTCTGCTCTGTGTTCTCAGTTTGCAGAGAAATATGGAAAGATTTTCAGCCTGCGGCTCTTTGGTGGAAGAGTTGTGGTCATCAATGGCTACAAGCTTGTGAGAGAGGCCCTGGTCCAAAAAGGGAAGGACTACGTCGATCGCCCCTTCGTACCTCTATCTTATGCAATGATGGGGGACAAGGGTACTGCTTTTGCATTGCGTGACTGGTTGTATTTATGCATATATTACCATCGAGCTTGTTGTTAAATTCTTATTCCTTAATGTGTTCAGTATAATATGTTTGGTGTCTCTAAAAGGTCTGGTGATGTCAAACAACAATCCATGGAAGCAACAGAGGCGATTCGCTCTTCACACTCTCAGGAACTTTGGAGTGGGCAAGAAGACCCTGGAGCAATCCATCCAGCAGGAGGGCCAATATCTCACCAAGGCTCTTGGCAATAAAAAAGTCAAAGCAGCAACTGACAAGAATACGATCCTGAACTAGTCTTGTAGTCCTGTTTTCCTCCCTTTGTCTTTAGTCATCATAAATAATCTTGTGGTAAACATTATCTTTAAACTTTGACACACACAAAACCGAGCAACAAAGGATCATAAACCATATAACACATCTGGTATCAACCTGATGATAATCTATTATTACAAGCTTATTGACAACTTGGCACAGCAGTGACTTAAATACATATTTAAATAAGGTCTGTGTCTTCTTCTTTTTCACAACTCTGTCTACATTTTCTCTTTACCTGACAGGACAGCCTATGAATGCTCAGCCACTGATAATCAGTGCTGTGTCCAACATTATCAACTGCCTTGTGTTTGGACATCGCTACGAGTACGCTGACAAGCGGTTCCAGAGTATTCTTCAGGACTTGAAAGAGATTGTGTTCTTACAGGGAAGTCCAAGTGTACAGGTGAGTCACTTTGTAAACTATATATAAAACGCTTTTTAAAGATCTATATTGGGCTTTTTATGCCTTTATTTAATGAAAGGACAGTGGACATGGTCAATAAATCAGGGAGAGAAACAGTGGGGAAAGAGATGCAGGAATAGAGCCATGGGGCTGCCTGCACTCAAGGACCACAGCCTCATGGGGCAAGCGCACCAACCACCATGCCATACCCGTCATACTGTAAACAAGATGCATTGCAGACCGTTACTAATACAAAAACATCATAAACAACATGAAACTAAACAAACAGAAGGGAAGAGCATTACAATTAAGGGTACATTTTAGGTTGCAGCCCACAATGTATCGTGTAATTATTTAGAGGCTACAGTGTAATCTTTTGTACCCCTGTCATACGTACAAAAACATACAACAAGTCTAGGTAATGGTCCAGGTACTAGTTTGATATCAGGCATTAACTATTGCAACTCCTTACTGGCAGGTCTTCCTGCATGCACTATCAAACCCCTGCAGATGATCCATCCAGGTCTACACTCCCTTCCGCCCACTACGCTCTGCCAATAAAAGGCACCATTCAATCTGCAGAGTCCCTTTGCACCTTTAAGGAAAAGCTAAAGACCCAGCTCTTTATGAACACCAACAAACTTAATGACAATGATGATGATATTTAGGATGCTTTTGATGCTGGTTAGAACGCTCAAGAAGAGCTGTCGATGAATAAAAAATTAAAAATAATAATAAATCAAACAAATGGGGGGAAGAAGAAAAAAAAGGAGCGATATATATGTGTATATATATACATATATATATTACAATAACAAGAGATTACTAAAATAATTACAAATAAGAAAGGTAAGTAAGCAAAGGTTAAGGCAGTAAAGAGTAACAGCCTTTCCGCTTTATCAAGGGTTGAATACAGGTTGAGTATGGGCCTCTTCAAGAAAATCTGTCCAAATAAGTCCATATAGGCCTCTTTGCGAAGTCTGTGCTTTCTCCACTCCAATATAGGTTAAGAAGGGTCCCATATTTTATAAAATGAAGAGGGTTTGTCCTTGAGCCAGTAGGTCATGGCCTGCAGGGGTATGAGTTCTATTATACTTCGTAACCACATTGAGAGCTGAGCAGATTTGTCAGAGATCCACTAAAGTAAGATGCACCTCCTAGCACCAAACAAAAAAACATCAAGGCGTTTCAACATGTTGGGTTTAGTATTAATTGCAGAATATAAACCAAGAATACAAGAAGCTGGCTTAAGATCTAAGTTTTTACCAAACATTACAGACATTTCTTTACAAGCATTTACCCAAAACGTTTTGATGAAAGGACAATTGAAGATACAATGGAAGTATGTCCCTTCAATAACCTTACATTTATTACAAATCTTTGAAAGAGAAGGGTTGAATTTATTCCGTAGCGGTGGTGTAATTTGAAGCCTATATATAATGTTGAATTACATTACCTTAACCTTGTTAGTGGACAAACACCCAGATGAACCAGACCAATACCCTTGTCTGACCAAAATGTGAATGCACAATCTACTAGGCTAGGGGGAAAGTCTGGATTCGGATAAATGGGGGTAAGTCTTGAAAGACAGTCTTCCAGAGCCTCTGTTTTCCTAATAGTTCTCCATACTTTTAAAGTGCTAAGGAGGAGGAAATTACCTTTTACTTTCTCTGAAACCCATCTTTTAAGAAATATACATAAAATAATAAAGAGGAATTTTGTCCAGAGGGGCAGCCTCTATGTTGAGCCATGTAGATTCCGGGTCATTTCTAAACCATTTCCAAAGACAACTGCCAAGGCAAGCCAGTTGGTAGTATCTAATATCGGGCAAAGCCAGTCCACCCTCTTCTAGTCGGGACTGCAGCTTCTGTAGTTTTAATCTAGCTCGTTTATTTTCCCATAAAAAGGATGATAATGAACTGTTTAAAAAAGGGATTGATTTTCTGGTCAAAAGAACTGGGATCATTTGAAAATCATAAAGCAACTGAGTAGAATAGAGCAGTCCACTCTTTTGGATTTTGCGAGCCCGGCCGCAGGGAGCTGGCTGCATGCTGGACGGATGCTGCTACATGCTACATACTACGGGTGAGCGTATTGCATCATTTCCTGTTCTGTTCTCCGCTGTACTGTGTTGTTCAGTGCTGATCGTTAGAGCTAAAAGCTTAATTGTTAATTTTGCCTAGTTTCTTACGACTGTTGTTTCCAACACACTGTACGTACATACAGTATGTAGAAGTAATTGAAAAGCACTCTTTCTCTCAAGTGACAAACCTGCAGTTTTGTTTATTTTAGCTACCTACTCTTAGCCTAGCTTAGCAGTTAGCTTTACAATGGCTTCTTTTTCTGTCTCTCCCTCTCCTGCTCTCTCCTGCTCTACGTGTCAGATGTTAAGTTATTCCTTGTCCTCCTTTAGTGATAATGACACACGTAAGAAATGTAGTTTATTTGAGCTTTGGAGGCGAGGGTGTCTGAGTTAGAGAGACGGCTCCACACCATTGAGTCAGAGTCATCGTATGCAGCAGTAGTTAGCCAGCCACCTGTAGCCGGTGCGGGCCGACATAGCTTGGCTTCCCCCCCGGTAGCCCCCGAGCAGCCGGGAGGCAGTGGCAGGGTTACAGTCCGAGGGAAGCATAGTCGAAAATCGAAGCATACGGTTCCCCACCAACCACTTCACGTTTCAAACAAATTTTCCCCACTCAGCGACACACCCGCTGAGAAAAAAACTCTGATTATTGGAGACTCCATAGTCCGAAACGTGAAGCTAGTGAAGTCAGCGGGCATAGTTAGGTGTATACCCGGGGCCAGAGCGGGCGACATTGCATCTCATTTAAAGTTGCTGACAAAGACTAAAGGTAGATTTGATACAATTGTAATTCATGTCGGCACTAATGACTCCCGACTACGCCAGTCGGAAGTCACAAAGGTTAATGTGGACTTCATAGATAACTGGCAGTCTTTTTGGGGAAAACCTGGTCTGCTAGCTAGAGACGGCATCCATCCCACTTTGGACAGTGCGGCTTTATTATCTAGAAACATAGCAGAGGTTGTTAGTCCAAAACCTTGACAACAACACAGAGTTCAGACCAGGAGGCAGAGCTGCAGTCTCACGCTTCTCTGCGCCTCCCTTAGATCTGTCTCCCAGTCACTATAGCTGTAATTCTGAATCCAACTGTAGTTATACTATAGGTACTGTGTCTGTCCCCCGGTCCTGACCCGTTTTTATAAGCCATCCAAATGTAGAAAAAAAGGTGTATATCGTCAAAATCTCATTAGAATCAAAACTACGAATACGATTTTGCAAAAAAAATCAGAAAATTCACTGTGGACTTTTGAACATTAGGTCCTTATTAGGTCCTTAGCATCCAAATCTCTTTTAGTGAATGATCTGATATCAGATCAGCATATTGATTTACTTTGTTTAACTGAAACCTGGCTGTGTCGAGATGAATATGTTAGTTTAAATGAATCCACTCCTCCTAGTCATTTTAGTACTCATATACCTCGAGACACCGGACGAGGTGGTGGAGTAGCAGCTATTTTTAATTCTAGTCTTCCGGTTAACCCTCGACCAAAGCTGAATTTTTCTTCTTTTGAAAGCCTTGTTTTTAGTCTTTCACATCCAGTCTCAAGAACCTTTCAGCCAGTTCTAGTTGTTGTAGTTTACCGCCCTCCCGGCCCATATTTTGAATTTCTATCTGAATTTGCAGAATTTTTATCAAATTTAGTCCTTGGCAGTGATAGAATAATTGTTGTAGGTGACTTTAATATCCATGTGGATGTTGATAATGATAGCCTTAGCACAGCTTTCATGTCACTATTAGACTCTATTGGTTTCACCCAGGGTGTAAACGAACCTACTCATCGTTTTAACCACACCCTGGATCTTGTTTTAGCTTATGGAATTGAAATCCAAAACCTTACAGTTTTCCTAGAAAATACTCTTCTATCAGACCATTTCCTTATTACTTTCGACTTTGTCCTACCAGAATTATCTCTGCTTAATAAAAAGGTGCTCTCTATAAGTTTATCTGATAGTGCTGTAGCTAGATTTAAGGAAGCTATTTCAGCTGTTTTTGATTCAGTACCGTGTTTCAACCCAGTTGGAAACGCTTATGATAGTTTTAGTCCCTCTCAGCTAGATCAGTTTGTTGATAGTGCAGTGGATTCGCTGAGAGTTACACTTGATTCGATTGCTCCCCTAAAACAGAAGGTCATCAAACGGCAGAGACTAGCTCCATGGTTCAACTCAGAAACCCATACCCGAAATTTTGAAAGAATATGGCGCTCGACCAAAACAGTAGACTCTCGTTCATTCTGGCAGGATAGTCATAGAAAATACATGAAGGCTCTATGTGACGCTCGAGCTGCCTACTACTCCTCTCTAATCAAGAAAAACAGCTGACAGAGAGTCATAGCTCCATTGAGCCTTGTATTCCTTTAGCCCTCAGCAGTAATGATTTCCTGAGCTTTTTCAACAAAAAAATTCTAGACATCAGAGACAAAAAAAAGACTCCTGCCCTTACCTGGTGCAGATACATCTGATATGACAGAGACAGTTCCAGGACCTGATATTAGTCTAGACCAGGGGTGCCCAACCTTTTTTGAACCAAGATCTACTTTTAAAGTTGCCAGTCTGCTGAGATCTACCAGTCCACATAATGAGCCATAGCCTTTACCGACAGCCTATAAACGCATTTAATACTCTAACAACAAACAGAAAATAATATCAGATATAATAAATGAGAGTTCTGTAAAAAATAATGCAATATCGACATACTTTTTTTAAAACTCTTATTTTAGGGTAGGCTACATTTTAATATTACGTTTGTATTTATATCACATATGTTTTTCCCTTAATTTTGTTTACAACAAACAACTTTAATCTGTGTGGAGATGTTCACAGACTACAGCAGGCTGCTGTGAGATGATGTTGCTTTTGTTAAATTAGCTGCAGACACGGTGAAAGTGAACGGAGTAAAGTCCAACCGACCGTTTGACCGGGTCACGTGTGTTCCCGCCTCGGTCCGTCAAGATCACGGATCAACTGTGTGCTGTAGCACTAAAAGTAAAAAGTAAAAAGGTTCGCGTGGTAGCTGGCGCTCCAGTGCAAGTGTGTGTGTATGTGTGTGCGTTTGCGCTGTATGTTTGTGTGCCCAGCGATGCTCACAGTCATGACAGCAGAGAGGAGCAGAGAAAAGTAGCTGCAGCTACATCAAATGCGTTTAATACTCGTAGCATAGTTTCTATATATGACTTTTTTGTAAAACATTTACCCCCCGGTTTTACCTGCACGTCCTTGCGCATGCCTGCATTCTCTCTCTCTTGCGCGCTCTCTCTCTCTCGCTCCCCCGCTCGCTCCCTCGCTCGCTCTCTCATGCACGCAGCAATTTCATGAATAAATGAAAAATTAAATACAAACAGGTCGGAAGTATACTTGGGCTCCCAACACAGGTATCGTGTGTGGGAAACAGTGCAATGAGATGAAATTGAAATCACTTTTCTATTTTACAATTGTATTTTATATTGACTAAACATCTCGCGATCGACTGAGAATCAGTCAGCGATCTACCTGTCGATCGGGATCGACTGTTTGGGCACCCCTGGTCTAGACTGTTTTTCTCCAATCGACCTTTCACAGCTAAATTCAATTATTTCTGCGTCGAAACCGTCAACCTGTCTTTTAGACCCAATCCCAACCAAGCTGTTTAAGGAAGTCTTTCCCTTAGTTAGCAACTCTATATTAGATATGATCAATATGTCTTTACTGGCAGGCTATGTACCACAGTCATTTAAAGTATCTGGAATCAAACCTCTACTCAAAAAACCTACACTAGATTCAGGAACTCTAGCTAACTATAGGCCTATATCCAACCTTCCTTTTATCTCAAAGATCCTGGAGAAAGTGGTAGCTAATCAGCTGTGTGACTTTCTCCATGACAACAGTTTATCCCCTCCGGATTGTTTATGGACGGCTTGCCTCCCTCCACCCCCTCTTCCTGCATTTTATCCCATCTCTCCCCCTATCCCTTTCCAACCCTGGCGCAGTCTAGGCCTGTAAAGGCTGTTTCATCATGAGCCGGGGATCCAGCCGAAGATTTCTGCCTTTTAATAAGGCAGTTTTTTCTTACCACTGTAACTTTTGCTGCTTTGCTAAAGTGCTCATGATGGATAGGCCGGGTCTTTGTAATATAGCAATAAGTAAGGTCTTTTACCTGCTTTTTGTAACATAACAATGAGTATGGTCTTTTTACCTGCTCTTTTGTAATGTTAAAAGACAAAGAGTAAGGTATTTTACCTGCTTTTTGTAAAGGGTCTCGAGATAACACTTGTTATAAGTTGACACTATACAAATAAAAATTGATGATGATGATGAACACAAGCACGGCGTGTCGGCAGCAACCATCTCACGGCTATATTGCTATGTTGCCACCACCTGCCGCTGCCAGCTCAGCAGCCAAGACATAATGCCTGCCTGTCGGCAGTGGTGAGGACGAGGAGCCGGGGCTGGCTCGAGCTAGTGCCGACTGGTAGTGTCGGTGCTCTCACTGTTTGCTTATGGACACAGACATAGAGTCAGTTTTCTGTTTTCCAAGATCAATTCTGGAAGAAATTTTTGAATCAGTTGAGGAAACGGCCTTATGTGTTGAAGTAAATATGTCTGTTAATGTTTTTATTACTATATTTCTACTGCTATACTGTATATTTTGGAGAAACTGTATCTATCAAATTTCCCTCAGGGATTAATTAAGTATTTTTGATTCTGAACTAGAGGACCTTAGTGGGAGTGGCCTGCGGTGCTGTGCATTCTTTCATCAATGCATCTTGGCTCATCAACATGAGCCAAAAAAAAAAGACACTTTCTGCCTTTTCACGGCCAAGAAGGCACCAACTTCAAAATGTATTTCACATTTCTACTACATATATGACCCAATGTCAATACTGATTCATGTTTCAATGGGTGAAGTATCCCTTTAGGAATAACAACATGTCATCGGCGTAGAGAGAGATTTTGTGCTTATGGGGACCTATATCAATACCTGTCACCAGAGAATCGCTCTGTATTACCTCTGCCTAAGGCTCTATTGCGAGAGCAAATAAAAGCAGACAGGACACCCCTGGCGGGTGCCACCCCAACCTGAAATGTAGGGGACTTCCAGCCATTTATAAGAACTGATGCTCGAGGGGAGTCATATAAAAGAGAAATCCATTTAATCTCCCAGGTCGAATTTGGAAAGAACATTCAATAGATAAGGCCACTCAACTCTATCAAAAGCCTTTTCTCAATCAAGGGAAACCACAATAGCCTTAGCTTTCAAATTAGTGCCACACTGGATAAGGTTCAGCAACCTCCTAACATTATTACAGGAATTTTGGCCTACGATGAAGTCAGTCTGATCTACTGAAATCAGGTCTGGAAGAATGTTTTCTAATCGTCTAGCCAGAATCTTTGCTATAGGCTTTCTGTTGAAATCAAGCAGGGCAATTGGTCTATATGAGGAGCAATCCTTTGGTGGTCTGCCCTTTTCAAAATTATTGAAATGTTGGTGTCCATCATAGTTATGATGTGATGTGATTTTTTTGTGCTCTGTCTCTAGTCACTTCCTGTCAGCACTTGTGTGTCCGATTGGATTTAAAGTTGTTTGTTTGCACTTCCTGGCGTTGTTTGCTCCTCTCTAGATCCTTGCTTCTTACTCTTTGATGTTAGTAACATTGGATAAAAGTGTCTGCTAAATGAATTGTGATATTTGGAGAGTGCCACCCCAAAAGAGTGGGCTGCTCCTTCCACGTGTGGAGTGAGCCTCTGCCTCAGCAAAGGAGTTCAAGTATCTTGAGTCTTGGGGCAGCTGCGGCTCAGTTGGTAGAGTTGGTGGTCTTTCAACCGGAAGATCAAGGGTTCAATCCCCAGCTACTACAGCCACATGTCCGATGTGTCCTTGGGCAAGAAACTTAACCAAAATTGCTCCTGCTGCTTCGTCGGCGGCGTGTGAATGTGTATAAATGAGATTACTTCTGATGGTCTCACTACACAGCAGCCTCTACCATCAGTGTGTGAATGTGTAGGTGTGACATGCACTGTAAAAGCGCTTAGTAGTAGTCAGAAGACTAGAAAAGAAATATACAAGCTCAAGTCCATTTGCTATTTACCATTTTGTTCACGAGTACGGGTAAAATGGATTGCAGCATTAATGTGAGCATTGCGTAGAACTGTCATGGTGAAGAGGGAGCTGAGCCTGAAGGCAAAGCTCTTGCTTCCCAGGTTGATCTTCGCTCCAACCACAAACTGTAAATATTATATATTAAATACAGACTATGGTTCCAACCCTCACCTGTGGTCAGGAGTTTTGTGAAGTGACCTAAAGAATTAGAACTGGACTAAAATGGACTTTCCTCTGGAGGGTGGCTGGGCTCAGCCTTGGAGAGAGGATGAGCAGCTCTGACATCCGAAGGGAGCTCGGAGTAGGGCAGCTGCTCCTTTGCATCGGAAGGATTCAGTTGAGGTGGTTAGGGCATCTGATTAAGATGCTTCCAGACTGGGCTGTTCTCCATCAGCTGCAGAGAAAGAAAACCTCTGAAGAAGGGAAGTAAAAAAGAGGAATATTTCCATTTTGGCCAGTGATCTCCCCGTTACACACACGCTTCCCTGAGGAAACACAGATTGACCAGTGAGGTGATTGAACACAAGACATTTATTTGATTTTTAATATTGCTGCAGCTCAGAGTCTTTACATCAGAGCAACCATCAACACATTTCAGTGGAATTAAACTCTTTGAGTAGATGATAAACCACCAAGAGGTTTCTGGAGCACACGTCCACAATGTTTTGCCTCATCTACAACAGCCAGCACCTTTGACTTGTTTAGGTTTCAAACTACCGCATGCTTAACTGATTACTGCCTCCATACTCTGTAGATTTATAACACGTTCCCCTGGCTGATGAAGTGGCTGCCTGGATCTCACAACAAGATTTTAACTATGTTCAAAAGGATCGTTGACTTTGTTGAAATCAAGATCAAAGAACACAGAGATAGTCTAGACCCGTCCTCACCAAGAGACTACATCGACTGCTTCCTCACAGAGATGGGAGAGGTAAAAGTTTACATGTTTGGAAGTCTTTGTGGTAAATTTTGTGTGTGTTGTGTTTGCATATTGTAATTGAATATGCAAACTTGTACTTGACACTGTCTTTTTGTTTTATTGATAGAGAGACGACAAAGATTCTAGTTTTGATATCGAGAATTTGTGTTCTTGCACTCTGGACCTGTTTGGTGCTGGAACTGAAACTACTACCACTACTCTATACTGGGGACTGCTGTACATGATCTACTATCCTCAAATACAAGGTGTGTGTGTGTGATAGTGTTTAAGTCATATATGTCCCCTCCCATGCCTGCTTAGTTTTGTAAAGGTTTTAGCAGGACTTCATAGTATCAGAATTCTTAAACAGGAAAAGTCAGTTCATCTCTCAACCGAAAAGTCAGGGGTTCAACCGGAAAGTTGGGGGCAGCAGTAGCTGAGTCTGTAGGGACTTCTGTTAGGAGCCGCAGGGTCGCCAGTTTAAGTCCCAATGCGGACCATAATATGGAAGTTGGTCTGGTAGCTGGTGATGAGCAAGAGTACTGCAGAGGTGCCCTTGAGCAAGGCACCGAACCCCCAACAGCTCTGGTGCGCTCCCAGCCGCACTCTGACTTCTCTCCACTAATGATGTCCACAGGTCACTGTGCATGGGTGTGATTCAGGCCTATGTGTGTGAGAAGCATGTCTCTTAATAACAGAGTGTAAACCAGAATTTCCCTCAGGGATTAATAAACAAATTCAGAGATTCCAAAAAATTAAATCCACAGCCCCTGCATCAACATGTCCGATGTGTCTTGGGCAAGACACTTAACCTCAAGTTGCTCCTGCTGCTTTGTCAGCGACGTATGAATGTGTATGAATGGATGAATTAATACTGATGGACTCTTTAGACAGCAGCCTCTACCATCAGCGTGTTATGAATGGATGAGTTAATACTGATGGACTCTTTACTCAGCAGCCTCTACCATCAGGGTGTTATGAATGGATGAGTTAATACTGATGGACTCTTTACTCAGCAGCCTCTACCATCAGTGTGTGAATGTGTGTGAATGGATGAGTTAATACTGATGGAGTCTTTACTCAGCAGCCTCTACTATCAGCATGTGAATGTGTATGAATGGATTAGTTAATACTGATGGACTCTTTACTCAGCAGCCTCTACCATCAATGTTTGAATGTGTATGAATGGATGAGTTAATACTGATGGACTCTTTACACAGCAGCCTCTACCATCAGTGTGTGAATGCGTATGAATGGATGAGTTAATACTGATGGACTCTTTACACAGCAGCCTCTACCATCAGTGTGTGAATGCGTATGAATGGATGAGTTAATACTGATGGACTCTTTACTCAGCAGCCTCTACCATCAGTGTGTGAATGTGTATGAATGGATGAATTAATACTGATGGACTCTTTACACAGCAGCCTCTACCATCAGTGTGTGAATGTATGAGTTAATACTGATGGACTCTTTACACAGCAGCCTCTACCATCAGTATGTGAATGTGTATGAATGGATGAGTTAATACTGATGGACTCTTTACTCAGCTGCCTCTACCATCAGTGTGTGAATGTGTATAAATAGGTGAGTTAATACTGATGGAGTCTTTACTCAGCAGCCTCTACCATCAGCATGTGAATGTGTATGAATGGATTAGTTAATACTGATGGACTCTTTACACAGCAGCCTCTACCATCAGTGTGTGAATGCATATGAATGGATGAGTTAATACTGATAGACTCTTTACTCAGCAGCCTCTACCATCAGTGTGTGAATGTATGAGTTAATACTGATGGACTCTCTACACAGCAGCCTCTACCATCAGTATGTGAATGTGTATGAATGGATGAGTTAATACTGATGGACTCTTTACTCAGCAGCCTCTACCATCAGCGTGTGAATGTGTATGAATAGATGAGTTAATACTGATGGAGTCTTTACTCAGCAGCCTCTACCATCAGCATGTGAATGTGTATAAATGGATTAGTTAATACTGATGGACTCTATACTCAGCAGCCTCTACCATCAATGTTTGAATGTGTATGAATGGATGAGTTAATACTGATGGAGTCTTTACTCAGCAGCCTCTACCATCAGCATGTGAATGTGTATAAATGGATTAGTTAATACTGATGGACTCTTTACTCAGCAGCCTCTACCATCAATGTTTGAATGTGTATGAATGGATGAGTTAATACTGATGGAGTCTTTACTCAGCAGCCTCTACCATCAGTGTTTTAATGTGTAGGTGTGACCTGCGGTGTAAAACGCTTTGAGTAGTCAGAAGGAAAAAAAAGTCAATTTCCAGTTTATCTGGTCAAATTACTTGTTTTATCTTTTCCCCGTATACAGAGAGAGTCCAGGCTGAGATAGACGCTGTGATTGGTTCATCCAGAGTGCCCTCTCTAAATGACAAAGAAGACATGCCCTATACTAATGCAGTCGTTCATGAGATCCAGAGAATGGCCGACATCGTTCCCCTTAATGTGATCCGCATGGCAACCAAGGACACAACACTCGACAAGTACACAATCCCAAAGGTACATGATGCACATTGTAGCATTCTGCTAATAATCAGTCCTGTTGTTATTTTAGTATGGATTATCAAATGTCCTTCATAAATGTCGTTTCCTCAGGGCACCATCATCATGCCCACCTTGAACTCGGTTCTTCACGATGAGGCGATGTGGGAAACTCCGCACTCCTTCAACCCTCAACACTTTCTGGATCGGGACGGCCAGTTTAGGAAGAGAGAGGCCTTCCTTCCTTTCTCAGCAGGTTGGTCAGTTGTTACAACTCCATCAAAGCAACATTAAAGTGGAGTCAGTAGAAATATTCGTGACAGTTCGTAAACACCCCTCCTTCTGGGCTCAACGCCCCCAGAAATGTTATCACTGCCGGTTAAGTGTGAACGTTTGCTGCTTGTTCCTACACTGCAAGCAACCAGAGATTATTGAGGCCCTGACACACCATGGAGATTGTCGGCCGTCTGTCCTAGTTGGAAAAATCTTTTCGTATCAAAACAATATACACAACAATATACACAGTATATCCGCATTCTTCTCCGTCCTCTTCCGATTTCTCCTTTTTGGAATGACGATTACAGACTACCGCTGCCTGCTGGCATGGAGAGTTATTTTCTCTTACACATGCACAGAACTTACGCCTTTGGCTGTAGTCTTTACGGTGTGTTCAAGTGCAACTTTTTGGCCAATAAGACAAAGGCGATGTGAGGCGAAGCCGCAGGCGGCCTTCGTTGCCACTAGTTTCTTGCCATCTGCTTGGTGTGTCAGGGACTTTACATTTGTTGTAATGGAAAAGACGATTATTTAGCACGTTAGCACAAGCTAACCAGCTGTGTTTGGCACCTGCCTGTCCAACAGAAAGCAGACCAACTCCAACCCAAGGTTCACACTCACTTTGCAACGAGCTTCACTGTGATTATATTTTCTCTTCTTTGCTGCTACTTCCACGTCCGCCATATTCGACGGTTTCAATGGCGTACAAGTGCTGAATTGTATCCACTCCTAAACTTACCAGTGTGCTTTCATTGGCTGGGTGTAACATACCATCTCCCCGCCCAGAAACATCCCAAGTCAACCAGAACAGTAAAAGTCTGTATTTTATTTTGAAGGAACAAGATGCTGACTCTGTCTTTACTTTAGGAGAAGTCTGTATTTTATTTTGAAGGGACAAGCTGCTGACTCCACCTTTAATGTTATACACCAAATGATTTCCTGAAGAGAATTTCTAAAATACACAACATTGCCCACCTGTCTGGCTTTTTGCCATATCTGGGACAGGATCGTACAATGTGTCTTACAATAGTCTGTGCTTGTTTCAGACTCCGAGCTGCAGCAATATTATAAATCAAATAGAATAGAGTAGAATAGAATTACTTTATTGATCTCAAACTGGGAAATTGTGGCGTTACAGCAGCAGGTTATCCAACACACAATATGAGTAAAAAACACAATGTTAGCAAATCTAAACACAATATAATATTCAATACAAAGTAAATAAGTACTAAAATATCAAAAATAAGAATGTGAATATATACAACCAGGATTTAACTAAGCATTACTAGTCTTAAATAAGAAGATTAAATATGGAAGATTGAATGTAAATGTGAAAAAACAGAGTCGGAAACGGTTGTAAATCAAATATGAAAGATTAAATGTAAATGTGCAAAAACAGAGCCGTAAATGGTTGTAAATTAAATATGAAAGATTAAATGTAAATGTGCAAAAACAGAGTTGTAAATGGACAGTATTGACATAAGTTAAAGTGCATGAGTGTGACATAATAAGCAGAAACTATACAATATAACGGCGAGTAGACAGCCAAATGAAGTGAACATGAGTGCAGGGATAATTTGTAAATTTAACATGTGCAGAACAGATTACAGTATGGAGAGACAGATATTATCATGATGTCAGTTCTCTGCTCGCATGAGGTGAGCTGCTGTACAGAGTTATGGCCTTTGGTAAGAAAGATTTCTTGTATCTGTCCTTGTGACAGCAGAGTTGTATCAGTCTGTTGGAGAAGCTGCTCCGCTGTTTGTCCAGTAAGGTGTGCAGAGGGTGATCAGGATTATCCATAATGGATAACAGTTTGTTAAGAGTCCTCCTCTCTGTCATCACTACAAAAGAGTCCAGCTTGCAGCCTATCACAGAGAGGCCTTCTTGATGAGTTTTCCAGTCTCTTAGTGTCACCAGCTCCAATGCTGCTCCCCCAGCAGACCACAGCAGAGAACAGTGCACTGGCCACAACAGACTGATAGAGGATCTCCAACATCTTGCTGCACACGTTGAAGGATCTCAGCTTCCTCAGAAAGTAGAGTCTGTTCAGTTCAGAGTTCCAGTTCAGTTTGTTGTGTATGTTGACACCCAGGTACTTGGACTCCTCCACCACAGACACATCCTCTCCCAGGATGCACAGCGGTGGTGGCTCTGTCCTCTTCCTTCTGAAGTCGATCACCATCTCCCTGGTCTTATCCAAGTTCAGAATCAGGTGATTTCTTCCTGTCCACTCCACAAAGTTATCCACCAGCTCTCTGTACTTCCCCTCTTGCCCATCCCTTATACACCCCACCACCGCAGAGTCGTCAGAAAACTTCTGCAAGTGGCATGACCTGGACTTGTACTTAAAGTCAGAGGTGTACAAGGTGAAAAGGAAAGGAGACAGCACAGTCCCCTGTGGAGCTCCTGTACTACTCTCCACCATTCCAGACTGACAAGTCGGACAAACTGTGGTCTGACTGTCAGGTAGTCAGTAATCCAGGAGATGATGGACAAGTCCACACCCATCAACTGCAGCTTCTCTTCCAGCAGTTGTGGCTGGATGGTGTTGAATGCACTGGAGAAGTCAAAACAAGTGATTCTCACAGTGCAGCCGTTTCCTTCCAGATGTGAGTGAGCACGCTGCATCAGGTAGATGATGGCATCGTCCACTCCCAGGTGTGGCTGGTAGGTAAATTGTAGAGGGTCAAGGGATGGTTTCACCTGCGGCCTGAGGTGGGTCAAGATTAGCCTCTCCAACACTTTCATCACGAGATGTGAGAGCCACTGGTCGATAGTCCTTGAGATCAGATGGTGTCGTCTTCTTTGGGACCGGGACCAAGCAGGATGTTTTCCACAGAAGCGGTATCCTCTCCTGACTCAGACTCAGGTTGAAGAGGTGTTGCAGAATCTCAGACAGCTGGCTGACACAGGTCTTCAGAACCCTTGGGCTAATGCCGTCCAGGCCTAGAGCCTTGCTAATGTTTAGTTTCTCCAGCTGTCTCTTCACCTGGCCAGTTGTTAGAGTCTTCCGGAAGCGGAAGAAGTTCACCATGCTGGACGTCCAGAAGAACGGAGTGCGCTTCACTAACGATAAATAAATGTCTTGTGTTCAATCTCCTCACCTGTCGATCTGTGTTTCCTCAGGGAAGCGTGTGTGTATCGGGGAGCCGCTGGCCAAGATGGAAATATTCCTCTTTTTTACCTCCCTTCTTCAGAGGTTTTCTTTCTCTGCAGTTGACGGAGAACAGCCCAGCCTGGATTTTGTTTTAGGATTCACTCGCAGTCCCAAACCTTACCGGGTCTGTGCTGTACCCCGATAAACAACCAGCTGTCCCAGACTCAGTCAAGTTTCTGTGAAGGAAAATTTCAACAGAAAATTTAATTTGTATTCTGTGTCTTAATTTGTTTCAATTATTGCTGATAAAAGGTCACATATTCTGCAGAATCCACTTCACCACGTTTCTCTAACTCTAATATGTGTCCATAGTCTGTCTACAAAACCCCCAATCATGAGAAAAGTCCATCCTCTTCATCTTTTGCCTGCTCCACTTTTCAGAAAATGTGTGCTCAATCAGGCCTTTCAAAGATTTTCCCTTCATGACATCACAAAGGGCAGTAACCCCTCCCCCAGGTGGGTGACACTCCCACAGCTAGGTGTTTGTTCTGCCCTCTGAGTCTGCCTTCTCACCGTAAACAATAGGACATGGAGCTAGAAAGCCTGAGTCACCCAAGCCCTTCCAGAGAGGGGTGTGGTCGGACAAAGCTCATTTACATATTTAAAGGTACAGACACAGAAACAGCCTGTTCTGAGCAGGGCTGAAATAGAGGGGTTTATAGACATGATCAAATACAGGATCAGAGTGGATTTAGAACAAGAAACTTCCCACACATGATTTGGGGAGCTCTGAGTTTTAATTAAACTGGTTAAAAAGGAGGGAACATGTGACCTTTAATTCTTTCACTTTTCAAACGCTATAACGTCTGATTGTTCCATGTCAAGTCTTACCAGTAAAAATAAATTTGAAAATGGGTGAGCTTGAAAAAGTCTCAGTCTGTTTATTTTTCCATGAACATACCTGCATTCTGGAAATCAAAGGGACTACAAACATTAGCAACCATCACAACTAAAGTAGACATGTTTTTTGTTTTGTTTTTTTTTAACATTGGAGGTGACCTTCTTCAAGCTTACAGTCTTTCTTTTTTTAAAAGAGCCTTCCTACTAAAAGGCGGACTGTATTTAAGTGTCAGTTCACAAACAACAATGGCCTCTAATGTATCTATATTGGGTTCTTTTTCAACAAACCTATAAACAGCTAAAAAGTGGCTCTTCGTTGAGATCACAGAAGTGAAAAAGATTACTGGATCAACATTTATGTATTCACATGTTAACATTTGATGGAATATATATGCAGTGGCGTGCCTAGAGGGGTGACATGGGGCCCCTTGAAAACTGATAAGCCACCCCAGGTGCCTCTCCAAAACACTAAACTATGACTGGCTACTTGCCTTGTCAGAGGTGGTACTTGTGTTTCAATTGAATATTCAGGCCAGAAGTAGTTTTCTTTACATGTCAATGTAGTTAGTAGTTTTAAGTTTTGTTAATACTTTAAATAGACTGTGAATGTATTTATTGAATAAGAAACAACCTGAGAAAATGAATGAGTCTATAAAAAATGGTGGGGAGCAGAGGGTATTTTTCTTTTACCAGAATCCCTCTGTGACATCACAAGGAGAGCGAATTAGAAACTGAACATTTTTCTCTGTGTTGTAAGACTTATGCAGACCACAAACAAAGGACTGGATGGGTTTATTTCACATTTTGTGTCAGTAGACACTCAGGTTACCCAACTAACTGTTCAAAAACACTGTACAAGTGGATTTTTAAATTATATTTATTTTAAATATGTCTCCTTTAGGCAGAATATGCTATTTTTCACACAAATGTAATATAAATCAAGTATATCCTCTGAAAATAACTCTGTGAGTCATGACTGTCTACAATGGGTGTAACACCCAAGTCCCACCGTCTGTGATGCTTTCAGAGTTTTCTGAGTCCTATCTTCAGTTTGTTTACATCGCCCGGACGGCCGGCCGTTCATCCCCTCGTGTATAAAAGTTGTTTAATTGAGGGACTAGAGAAAAGAAGAATAACATATTGTACTCACTGCTTAATTGAATGTCACTGCTTTTTTATAACACAGTAATTTCAGGTAAATTTACATGCAGTGTGAAGATACAAGCATAATACAGATAGCTAGCATTAGCAACAATGCAGCGCGAGTTGTTTTGATTTCATGTTGGTGCTCAAGGGCGACATCTGCTGGATCAAAAAAAATGGCATATAAAGCCTTTAAAGGCAGAATATGCTATTTTTCACACTTAAATGTAATAGATACTGTGACAGTGACATATTCTGCCTTTAAGCACTCAGATCAAGATCTCTTTCACATGGTGGCCTGTCAAAGAGGGCAGCATCACACGTCATAATGAACTTTACATGAATATGGAACAGTTCACAAACAATAAGATAAAGTGCAGAAGTCGTGATGACAGATTACAGTTCAAACACATCAGGCACTGTCCAATGATCGCGTGTTTTTGGTAATTTAAGATCGAGCCAAAGGCTTCAAGTGAAATGAGATCTGCTGGTTTCAAATCATTTTGGAAAAAGTGCCCTGTAGGGGGCAGCAAAACTAAAAACTCTTTTCCCGAGCTCAGTGTTATGAAGGAGTATTAGGGCCACATTAAGGGGGAAAGCATTTCGAGAATAAAGTCGTAATTTTACAAGATAAAAGTCTTAATGTATCAGAATAAAATCATGAATTTACTAAATTATTGTAATTTCTGAGAATGAAGTAAGAGATTTTCTTTTTAAAAGTACTTTAAATTGTGACTTAAATTGGGACAAACGTCTTCTTTGCATCACCACTCATAGCAATAATGCTACACACTGTGTGTGTTTTTAATAACATAATGTGTATGTGTATGTGTATAATAAGTGTACATACCTTGTATTATTCTATTATTGTATTTTTTCTCCCTTTATTTAACTGATGTAAATATGTTTGATTTTTAACTTGTTCTTTTTATTTTTTTTGAACATTTTTTATTCAGCTTTACACATTTATATTTCAGTGTTTTTCCTGCATAGAGAATTATTTGGCGCCCCCCAAAGAGGTTTTACCCAGCGCCAAAGGAAAATCACTAGCACCAAAAGAAAAGAAAGACGATTCAAATTGCAAATCAAATCCTCTCTGAACGTATGTTAAAAATATCAATACATCAGACGACTGCTGAACAAGCAGAACATAAACTTAAATACGACGTCTCTGACTTCTAGCAGTCATCTCCCCTCTCATCCGTTTACGCATGTGGCTCGCGCTGGATAGCCAGCTGATTGACTGTTCGTTTCTTTTGACTGGTTCTGGACGCTCTGCTGACACCCACGAGCGCAAATGAGGGTTGATTTTCCGTTTAATTTCAAAGAGCAATCCACTTCATGGCGATAAATATTAACCCAACAGTCATATTAAAACTATACTAAACCACGTATGATGTAGCTGCGGCTAATAACTTACCATAACGTCAGCCAGCTGTAGTCTGTGAACTTCTCCACACAGACTGTCAAACAGCGCTGCATTATAGCCAGCAAATATATTTTTACAATTTCTCAATTTCCTGATCTGATCAAATGATCTGTGACTTAAATCGGTGATTATTTGACATAATACTTTAGTAACTCAAATGAATGTACTTAAACAAATGTGTATGTAAAACGAAACACAATTTAAAGGTAAAGAGCAGCCATCATAGGTAGAGGGTGAAATGCACTGGCAGGATGTGACCTCCCCTCTCCCAATCTCATTACACCCTCTCCCTCAAAATCCCTCTCCTCACCTGTTTCACTGTTGCAATAAAAAAAAATATTTACCAGATTTAATTGGGGTTTCAATAACTTAAGCATAATGATAATATTATTTATAAAATGGTCAGAAATAACATGAAATGCAGAGATTTCTGTCAAATAAGGTAATAAAGACTCGTAGACTATACTGTAATATGCAGGTCGAACGTTTACTACAGCGCGTATAGTCACCCCCCAAAGGCCCATTCTGAGCCAGGAAAAACCCTGATCACCCACATTGATCTGTGGTGTTTAAGAGAAGGAAAAGCCTCGACAAGGTCAATCGGTCATTTTTAAGTAAGCTGAAGGAGACTGACAGTTAACTGTTGTATGTGATGACTAATTCTGACCTCTGTAAAGACATTATGTAAACTATAAAACATGTTCCTTTATGGTTTTCCTTATTTCTGATTGGCATCCACTGTCCAGTCCTGAACAAGTAGTGCTAACTTCAGGCTGCAGATTCTAAATTCTGGGTTTACACTCTGTTATTGAGAGACACACATGGGCCTAAATCACACACATGCACAAACAGGACCTGTGGACATGCACAAACAGAGAGATGTCAGAGTGGGGTTGCTACACACTGCTGTGCAGGGAGCACACCAGTTGGGCGTGCCATGCTCAAGGGGAAATCGGTAGTGCTAGGGAAGTGACCTGGCACTGCTCCAGCTACCAAAACAACTTGCTTAATTTGGTCTGCATTGGGATTTGAACCAGTGACCCGCCGGTCTCAACCCAAGTTCCTATTGACTGAGCTACAGTAATGCTTCACAATTATTTTTTCTTGGATTGGCCAACAGAGTATGTGTCAAAATTAATATGCATATCATGGTCATATAGGTGTGCGCAAATTCATGTATGTTTCAACTTTATGACAGCCAAAAGCTTACATATTGATTATACTAGGACCCCACCCCAAGTCCATCACCAAATCCACCTTTTTCCACCTTAAAAACACCTCAGGTCTCCGGCCCTCACTCCCCGACCCCGTGGCAGAGACCCTCATTCACGCCTTCATCACTTCCTGTCTGGACTATTGTATGGGGTTCTGTTGGGGCCACCAAACACTGCCCTGAACAGACTCCAGTATTCAGGGTCCTCACACGCACCGAGCCCTGGCAGCACACCACCCTCATTCACCTCCACTGGCTCCCGATCAAGTCCTGCATCCAATACAAACTCCTTCTACTCACCTACAAATCTCTCCATGGTCTAGCACCACCTGTTCACCGAAGCTATCGGCCTCAGTTAACTCTCTTCATCTGTCTGTGTTTGATGGTGTTTTATTTATTTTTTGTTGTCTCCTATTACTGCCTCCTCTACTACTGTAAAGCATCCTTGGGTTTCTTGAAAGGCGCTTTATAAATCTAAGTTAGTATTATTATTACTTGTTTCTTGCATTATAACTTGTGTTTTTACACAATCACTAAACAATTTTTATTTTAAAAAATCAACCTATATTGGGCGCAAGTGGAGCAATGGTGGTGCACACGCCTCGTGTACGGAGGCGGGCGTCCTAGGTTCAAATCCAACCTGTGGCTCCTTTCCTGCATGTCATTCCCCACTCTCTCTCTCCCTGATTTCAGACTCTA